GTTGCAGCCATCATTGTTGTTTGGCAGGTCCGGGCTGGATTTGAACCCACCACCTTAGGTGTATGTGGCTGGCACCTTAGCCACTTGAGCCACAGGCGCCGAGCCGAGCACTCTGTATCCTTAAATAATAGTCCAGGAGATTTTAATGTGGATGATTTGAAGAACTGCCTTTGAGAAACACTATGTAAAGTATTAAACAATTTTATTTATCTTTTCTTGCATAATGTTGAAATAGCTAAGTATATCAGTTGCTGAGCAAATCCTTTTTTTTTTTTTTTTGAGATAGAATCTAATAGCTAACATTTTTAGGACCACCATCTAGTCCTAAATTTTGAAATAGGAAAGGTAATTAGAAAAAGGCATTTTGCATAAGTAGGATGTATCATTACTAATTTAATGGTAGTGTCTGCTACTGGAGCGTATAAGAACCAATAGCATCATCTATGTTCACCCAAGAATATTTCCATTCTTAGGCCTCGGCTAGACACCACACATTTCATTCACATGAGTCTGAATTAATTAGCCAAAATAAACATGTTGCAACATTCTTCTACCAGCAGATGCCAGATAGCAAAGCAGAATAGAATCTGCTGTAGTCTCCAGCTATGACATACAGTGTTACTTGGCACCTCCAGATGAGTATTAATCAATCCAGATTAAGCACTCTCCTAGCTTGTGGGCAGGTGACTGAATGAAAGTGAACATTACTACTTTATGTCTGCTGAAAAGCTCTCAGGTCCCTATTTCACCTTCTTATATTTACATTTAGAAATCTAGTATGCTTTGATAATTTATCTGTCAGTCAACCACAAGTCTTGGATAAGACAAAAGGTAAAAATTTTTGTTATTATTCATACCATTCCCACCACCCCCACTCAATAACCTGCAGATTGAATTTACTTTAAAGAGCTAACTTAATATTCACGAAAGAAAAATATTTTTTTCATAAAGTATCCTCTACTGTTCTTTAACTATAATTGTTTCTGGTTTCTCTTTCATTCCCTGCAGATTGCATATTTGATTCTCAATACCCATTAATAATAAAACTAGACAGTTTGGCATATGATGCATTTGTTCTTGTTGCAAAGTGAAGTGCCTAAGTAAAGGCTTGTCAAGTAAGGTAGGGGAAAACAAGGTGAATTCAAGTACATGCTTCCTAAATAAGGTGTCACTTCCCAGTCCTGGCTGAATTTTAAACATTGGCTCAAATACTTTTTAAATATCTAGCAAACCAGCAAAACAGTTAACTGGATAGGACCAAGAGCCACTAGTTTATGACCTGTGTGTTCTTACATGACAATAAGATTGGTATTTTGGTTGAGAATCTCAAATGCTTTAGAGATGTTTCTTTCTCTCATATGTCAGATGCATTAATTCCTCTAAGTTAGGTAACAAGTCACTTAGCATCTCTATTAGAAATACAAGATAGATTCTTAAGTACAACAAGCTTCCACTCCCTTTATTACAATTTTAAAGGTTGTTACTCTTTGCTGCCCTCTTAAAAGTTTGTTCACATTTTTATTCTCAACCTTGAGTTATTTTATGAAATTGGTTTGCTTTATTATCTTTTTTTTTTTTTTTTTTTGAGACACAGTGTCACTCTGTCTCCCTGGGTAAAGTGCTGTGCCATTATTGTAGCTCATAGCAACCTCAAACTCTTGGACTCAAGAGATCCTCCTGCCTTAGCCTCCCAAGTAGCTGAGACCTCAGGTACCTGCCTAAATGCCTGGCTTGTTTTTCTATTTTTAGTAGAGATGGGGTCTCACTCTTGTTCAGGCTGGTGGGGTCTTGCTCTTACTTGGGCTGGTCTTGAATTCCTGAGCTCAATCAATCTGCCTACCTCAGCCTTCCAGAGTACTAGGATTACAGACATGAGCCACTATAGTCTACTCTATTGTATTTTTAAAAACGTGTAAGAATATAATCTGACAGAACATGCTGCTTTAAGAGTAAACACTATGTAAGTAAAACAGGTCTTTAAAAAAACACCTTTAAATAGATCATGCTGGCTCAGCGCCTATACCTCAGTGGGTAGGGTACCAGCCACATTCATCAGGGCTGGCGTGTTTGAACCTGGCCTCGGTCTGCTAAAAACAATGACAACAACAACAACAAATAGCCAAGTATTGTGGCAGGTACCGGTAGTCCCAGCTACTTGGGAGGCTGAGGCAAGAGAATCACTTAAACCCAAGAGTTTGAGGTTGCTGTGAGCTAGAGGGCTCACAGCACTCTACCGAGGGCAACATAATGAGACTCTGTCTCAAAAAATAAAGGGAGGGAGGGAAAGAAATCATGCTGTCTTGTGAGTACCATGGTGTTTATGAGGAAATAAATTGAGTTGTACATTGCATAACATTTCAGCCAACTAGTGCCCACATACCCAATGGTGGTCCCATGAGACTATAATTGAGCCAAAAATTTTCTGTCACTAGTGACCTCTTAGCCATTGTAATGGTCTTGATGTCCTGGCACAATACATACATGCTCTGCATGTAACATGCTTTGCCTAGCAGCAATAGGCTATACCATATATCCTAGCAGCATAGTAAGCTATGCTATCTAGGTTTGTGTAAGTACACTCTTAAATTCACAGCACAATAACTCTCCTCGTGATGCATTTCTCAGAACACCTCCCATCATTAAGGGCCACATGATTGTACTTCTCTCTTTTCTGGACAGCCAGGATTGCTGATTATCAGGACAGTATAATCCAGCCAATGCTGTCCATCCAACCACCTGCTTATTTTAGCCCTTCCCTTCCTGTTTCTCTCCCACTAGTGCCTAAGGGAGCGTAGGAACAAGAACCAACCCTAGTAAAGCAGATATTCCACCCAAGCAAGTGACTGGCACTGATCTTCTGCACACCAGGCCCAGCCCACTCCTTACCAGTCCTTGGCCTCACACCCTTTCCAGTAACAATGGCACCTTAGTCAAAGAGAGAACTGAGGTTTGGTAGAGCACCAAGTTTCATTGTTTTCTGCAGGCCAGATTTTGGAAGTAAAAGAGGTAAGAGAAAACAAAATGATTAAATTCTAAGTAGCTGGAGTTGCTTACTCTATAAAACAGCTAAGATTTAAGTATTTGTTCCCCTACCACTTTAGCATTTTGGTGATGTGTATAAAAATTCTTAGCTGCTATGTATTTCCTTCACATTTACCAACATCTGTAGCGTCTCTCCATCCTTTCAGTGGGATGTCAGATTTGCATCAAATAAGGGCATAATGAGTATTTTCAATCTGCCTTTAATGGAGATCCTAGGTGTTGTTTTTGATAGCTCTATTCAAAGTTGATCAGGGGTTTGCAGTGTTACTAGCCTTCAACCTAACTAACCTGGGGGAAAACCCAGCAGTGATCAGTAGGTTACCATTAGCAGACCTAAGAAGGAAAGAGTGTGGCAGGATACACATTCTAAGGAAATTCATACTTAATGTATTTATCTCACATTCCATTTATAGACTAGTTGCTTTATTTCCAGTCCATTCCCTAGTTCACATGTTTTATTGAGCACTATAGTAGTACAGCCTGATGACAGAATTCTGGAAAGTATAGAGTGGTTACTCAGGAATTTAGACAACTACAGAATAAAAAATGTGAACAAGAGAGGGGAATGGGCTTGATGGATAGAGAATATAAGTTTTTATTAGGAATGTCAAAAAGTAGTGGAGTCGGAATAGCAAAGACCAGAAGCAGCTTCACTTGATTGTAATTTTTAGTGGGCGGTAAAGGCAGGCACTGAGCCAGCATCACCACATTATAAATAATAAATCTTTCTTTTGTGGTGGTGATATTGTGAAAGATGTATGGTAAGGCTGCATCAGTACAGTGAATCACTAAATGGGTGGTACTGTCTTGAGAGGCAGCTGTGTTTGGAAAGGGATTATTCTACAACTTGGTCCAGAACACCTTGAACATACAGCAGAGCAGTTATCTTGGATATTTAACACTATTTTCTTGGAGAAATTTCACTGGCCAATGATGGTATGTATGCGGGGATGTTTATTTAAAAAATTCTCATATGAAGCTATCCTCAAGCACATAGTATCTTTGTAGTAAGAGGAAAATAGTAAACTGAAAGCATACCTTCTGTTTAAGAGCCAATTTCACATATTGTAGTACTTCCTTACAAATTACAGCTGTGTAGCCAGTAACTGATCCTTAGGATGCTGTTTGTTGTTATGGTGAAGAGATTAAAAGTAGAAGCCAAATGTTAACGTTAGCTACTGGGATAAATGAGAATTTTAGGGAAATTTGCCTACTACCTCCTTTTCCTTTTCCTGACTCATTTTTTTCTTTTTATGTCCCTCTCCATCTAGCAGAAGTTGTAAAGCACAATGGCTACACATAAATGCCTTTTCCTTAGTTAATACTATCTTTGCCTAAAAAAACTGAAGCACTACCACTTTTTCACCAGGAGTGGAAAAAATTTTAGAACCCCCAGTCTTCCAGTTAACATGTTACTCCACTGATTAAAGTTGACAAGATGTTTATATAAACTATTTCAATATTGTTTCAATGAAAATAATCACAGGAAATTAATGAGAATGTTATGGAATAAGGTAGTTTACTTGCTAAAGGAATTGATTTTACTTCTTAAACTACAATGGAAATGTCTCAGTAGCTGTTGGGAATTTATTCTTGAATAATAATTGATTTCTCATTTAAGGAAAAACTGTATCCAGTAACTCAGATATGGCAGAAATGAAGTCAATGTTCCGGGAAGTTCTTCCAAAACAAGGTAAATGTACATCACAAATATTTAGATCATTGAATATTATAGGGACCAACAAAACAATAGGCCAGGGGTCCTTAAACTTTTTAAGCAGAGGACCAGTTCACTGTTCCTCAGACTGTTTAGGGAGTGCCGGACTGTGGGTCCCGGGAAGAGTTGGCTGCTAAGCAGGACAGGTAGTGGCAGGCTGGATAAATGTCCTAGGCGGGTCACATGTGGCCCGCAGGCTATAGTTTGAGGACGCCTGCGATAGGCAGTGTCACATAGCAGGCCTTAACAGCTAAACATCTGTAGCTATTTTGTTGTCTCATTTACCATATCTACTTTTTACTGTATACTTTATTCACCAGAAGGTTGTAAAAGAATCTTCATTTTTTTTTTTAAAGGACAAGAAAAGTATCATTTCTTATACTTAGAGATCTTCCTATAGCCAATATTGCTCATTACAATAGGAAATTTTCAGTTAAATAATGTAATGGAATTTACCATATTAAATATGGTCTGAAAGTAGAGAAAACCCTAAATCAAGCAATATTGAGAAAACTGCTGAAGGTTTAACCAGTAATTAGAATACTAATGCTAAATACCATACTTTATGTATTATGTATGTATTCTCCTAAATCGTATTAAACATTTCACACAAAAAATTGTGTTATGGTAGGTAAAGTCTTAGGTAGAAAGCTCTAAACTTATCTTTCTCAAGAAATACCCTAATATTAAGAAATGTTGCTTGTGGAGTAACTTATCTTTCTGGTGCCAAAGCAAAACTTTCACTGACCATGAAGTTCTAAGTTCAGACCTTTATTCTAGTTGCAAATCCAACTACCAAACTGTGTTATGTCCCTTGAATTAATTCTTATTTTTTCTTAAACATAGGGCAATTGTCTGTTGAAGATGTAACCACAATGGTGCTTTGTAAACCCAAACTTTTACCCTTAAAATCTCTGACTCTGGAAAAACTAGAGAAAATGCAGCAAGCAGCACAGGATACAATTCGCCAACAAGAAATGGCAGAAAAGGAACAGCGGCAAATAACCCACTGACTGATATAGTGCTTCAGGGAACAACATACCTTATCTACTACTTAGTGATAACTAGAAAATCTGCATTTGTATGCTGACAGCAGTGTCTATTAATAAAACTCATAATTTTCATATAAATAATACAAGAATACTCAAGTTTGATGAAACGTATTGTGAATTTAAACACTCTGGTTTGAATTATACATAAATTCCAAAAATTGGATTTTAATTATACCAAATTCCATAAAATTTGATTCACTCAAGTCAGTTTTTATAACTACAAATTGTTTACCATTCCTGCTGCTGTTTTGTGGATAACATTCTTAGGCAGAAGTGACTAAAAGCAACTTTTATATACAGAGAACCTTTATATGTTTATTAAAAATCTAAATATGAAGATATATTCCAATCTTGCATAAAGTGTTTATGTTGGGCTTTTACATTACCCAATTTAGAACAAAATGTTTTAAGCAATTTAGTGTGCTATGTCATGTTTAATGCTTTCTTGCCTAACCAATTGATCCTACCAGTATGACAAAACTGTTTAAATTTAACTTTAAACAGTTAAATTCACCTATTCTGTATTCAGCTAAGCTTTTAATTACACTAAAGGACTTGTAAATTACATGACTACCTTTATCATTCAGTTATCAAAAAACTAAAAACCTAAAAATGGTTACATAAGCCTGAGTGATAATGGGCTTAAAGAGCCCATGAGGTACATACGAACATTAAACTTGTAGTTTTAATTCTAAAAGACTGGGCCTAAACCTGAAATAGGTATATTCCTAAGAATATCTTTGTAAATTCTGGATATAATTCTTGGTTTGTTTGCTCTAATCAATAACAGGTAATCTATGTTAGCAGAGACCTTGAGGCTTTGCTGAATATTAGGCTCTGTAAAAGAGGTAAGAAATGTGATCAGGCCTTAGATAAATGTTATTATTGGTAGCCAGTATTTTCTCAGACACTGGGCAAATGTAAAGTTTTGGGTAATTTAACACCATTATTTGGTAACAGAATTTAAGAATAATGAAAGGTATATGTTATTTTAGAAATTTCACTGAGCTATAAATCCAATCAGTAAACAAGGGAGTAAAGTATGCATGCATTTTTTCCCAGTATAATCTTAAAATAATTTACTGTGTATGCTTGATGTAAAAGTTTCAAGGAAAAAAAAGTTTGAGGAACACAGCTTGAATTCTGGGTTCAAGTATGTTTCTTTAGAAGATTTAAAATTTGTTGAAGTTCAAGTTTATAGAAGACCTAAAACTAATATAATCCCAATAAAGAATCAACACTGTTTCACATGTTTTATTTTGTTGTACATTCTTCTCAAACCAGGTTCATTTTTCCAGTTTTGTAGAAAAATAGATGTTCCAGCCACCGTTTACTTAACTGTCTAGTCTTTAAGACCAATCAATATGTTCCCTGGAAAGATGAATAAGTCTTATGACTAACTCATTTTTTAAAAATTCTTTAAGACAAAGAAATAACCTTTTTTTTTTTTTTTTTACTCCCAAAGCACAGTTTTTCAACAGCAGCAGCCAACATGGGGTATTTTAGCAGCTTAACTTTACCCCCTAAATAAAGCTTTGTATAAACCAGTGATTTTACTACAAAAAACACTGTCCTTGAAAGAAAGGAGTGGCAGTCAGACATCAATGCAAAACTTGGAATGATTAGGTCATAAACATGGCACTTACAAAAGGTAGCTTATTAGAATATTCCACTTAAGAAGTTACTTTTCTGTCTCTCCTTTCCCCCTCAAAAAAAAAAAAAAATTCTTTTAAAAGTTCCCCTTAAATGTAAGTTTATAAAATTTCAGAAATGCCTTGTACCCAAAACAAGTGCTAAAAAAAAAAAAAAAAAAAAACAAAAACCTGTGCTAACAACTCTTACAATTCAGATATATATTTTTATAATATCTAAGACTGCAAGAGTTCCTATATTCAGTAGCTCTCCGGTTTAAGACGACCTCCATCTCCTTCGCTTACAAAACGCTTTCTGCCCCTGTAATAAAAGAACAAAAATATATGAAAATAGATATAACTTCTGACTAAAAAATCTTGGTATTTTTTGGTTCCATATACTAAGTTTTCAAAGGGTTTTTTGTTTTTAAGAAAAAAATAAAAAGAATGCCTATGATTCCTTTGAAAAAGACTTTCCTTGCTATACATCTTAGCATAAAGCATCAAATCAACAGCGAATCTGAGTTTTTATTTAAATGAAAGCCTAATTGTTGAAGTAAGTTATCCAAAATGAGTCATGTAAAAAAAGTTAATATAAAACTTAAGGCAAACATTTAGAAATTTAATATTTACTTCCACCACATTATTTGAAAGCTAAAATAGTGAGCCAAATAGGAAACACTAACATAACTTAACAATCATGCAAACTGGAGCTATGGAAGCTATCAAAACATCCAAATTTAACAATTTTTTTCCGATTTTTATCAGATTAGAAAATCTATAACTGGAATGTGGAAAAACATAGAATCTAATTCCAGCCTATGCCCTATTTTGGGATTCTTACTATTTCAAATTCAAGAAGCTCTGCTCTATAATGTAACCACACTGGCTACAAGTAGTAGCAATAGCCCAGCTGGAACTGCTGGCTAGTAACCTAAAGCAGTAAGTAGAAATGGAGGCGGGGCAGGATTAGCCCTTATTCTGACCCCAGACCAACATGCACAAGCATGCAAGACCACACCATGTGCACTTCACCTAAATAAGCACAAAGAGGCAAAGGATAAAAGTCAAAGCTAAACTGGTATACACAGGAAGTTTAAGTATTCTCAAACAGTGTTGAGAGCAAAGCCACAAGAGAAATAATTAGGCTTCCCAACAGATGCTAAAAAACTTTTTGAAAGCCAGGGCCAAGGTGCTGACCCCCTTTCCACACTTAGGTCTAGGTGGCAACCAGCTACATCTTCTTGAACATAAAGGCTTCAGACTATGTATTATGAGACCAACATATAGAATGAAGCAGTCTACAGCAAGAAGTCTTGCCAAAGTTGAGTTTTTACAGTTGTACACCACTTGATACATCAATACATAAACGGCACTATCACCAAACTGCAGTCTATGTTTCTAAACATTTGTCATAAAGGCCATAAACTGAATCTTACATCACTTTTTTTCCTTCTCTCTGAATGGCTTCTAAACTTTCTATATATCAAAGGACCCCGTCAGGAATTATTCTTATGAGATATAATTTTCACAATGCACTTCAAATACTCAAAGCTTAGGAATTTTTTTCAGATAGAAAATTACAAAAAATGTATGTAAACTGACCACACAAGAAGTTTAGCTACTACTAAACATTCGTACCCATTACAAGCTTCAATATTAGATTCATTTTAACAACCAACTTAACTCTTTAAAAAGAGTTACATCCTAGTAGCACAAATACAATACCTCCAAAGAACCCCCCACCCATATGCTTTCTAGTAGGATACAATCCAATCAGCCCCATTTCCCCATCGTATGAAGAATCAAGGGAAGCCACACAGTGTAGGAAAGAGACTAGATCTCTGAAGCCAGAAGTCTGGATTCATTCTTGGCCTCTACCATGGACTAGCCAGGTGACCTTAGAAAAGGTACATTATATCCCCATGCGTCTCAACTCCCTCATCTTATTACTGATGATACCTACTCCAAAATCAAACATTTAAAGTACTTATAACAAAGCCTAGTAAACAACCACACCACAAAATTAGTTTCCTTCAAATGAACCAGGACCTCATAAGATAGTCTTGTACAGGTTTACAAGGGGGCAAAACAAGCTTTATGCTTGTTTCTCCATAAACTCAAAATAGTGAGGAGGATGCTATCATTTTTCTGACAGAGCTAGAATGATAGAAAACTATTTTAGCACTTGGCTTTTCCTAACCCCTCAGCCAGTATTTTATATTGAGAAAGTAATATTTAAATAATGTACCTTGAAGGACAAAGATCTCTGAGTTGTTTGGAAATTATTCCAGCCTGAAAACATTCTTCTACAAATCGCTCAAGCACAGAGTATGAATGTGGGACATCCAGATTAATGTCTGGAATTTCATTATAAATTCTCTCATAACCCTAAAACGATGAAATTATATATAGAATTGTTAGCCTATAAAAAGTACATCCCATAAAACAATCCATCACTATGTCATCAATCTATATTTAAGGCCAAATGTTCATACAGTTAAACTGAAGTTAGATTTGAACCTTGTAAAGTACAGAAAGTAGATTTGTTATAGAATGTTTTCTTTAAAACTATTCTTTCTTTTTTTTTTTTT